TAATTGTAGCAATAATATATAATGTGTAATAATATATAATTAGAGTTCTTTACAATAGTTTTCCACATCACCCGTGAGGCACTATTGTTGACGCGTTTTTTTTAAAGTGGTTTCCCCAGTAGGCCTATTGAATAGGCCTGGAAAACTATTGTAAAGAACTCTAATTATATTATACACATTATATATTATTGCTACAATTATATTATTATATATAGAGCATATTAATACATTAATAATAGAAAATTTAGTACTTGATTTTTTGAAAAAATAAAAATTATTTAGCAAGAAAGATTCTTCAATGACGGAAGATACGACCCTAGCACGTTTAAGATATAGGGACGCTCCTGAGCCAGAGCGTCACGTGAGTGGTCGACGGCTCGGCCGCTGAGACTCGAGTAGTAGTGGGGGTCGCTCGCCGGAATCAGCCCGAAATGTGCATCTAGTGCCGAGCACTGCTATAGAGTATAATGTCTCTATATAGGATACACAAAATAAATATTCCAGTTATGTTCAAAGCTTAAGGGTTGACAGAGGGGATGCACCGCGTGCTCGACGCTTTACCTATACTATACTTCACGGTCCGCAATAAAATGATTTGTAATTACATCAATTCTTCGAATTTCGTTCTAAAACTCAAGGGAAATATTTTTAATGGTATAAATTACTAAATTATGCAAAAAAAATTTTTCGATTTTTTACCCATTACATTACATGAAACGCCCCCCTTAATTCAAAACGAAAATTAAGATGTAGTCTTTATTTTTCATTATCCATGTTTCAATTGTATTAAAATTATCTTATATTTTTTTAATGAAATATTTTTTTCTCTGGATTGTGTTGCGCACACAGAAGTATGTGATAATTAAATACGAGTATTTATAACATTTATTATAAAATTTACTACAATACAGATCTCAATATCTGTATTACATAAATATACGCAAAAGACAATTTCGATTATCGATCGGATTTGATGTCTATATAATGACATCTATACAATGCGTTGAAAAGTAATTTCAACGTCATTACTAAAGTAATTAAAATAGTAATATATCATTATGAAATTGATTAAAATAGATTAATAGATCATCAATTTAATATTACTAATGCTATTATATAAAGCTATTTTGCTTTCTGTAAATTTTATTAAAAATTATTTTTAATATTAAATCAATTTTATTATTCAAAATTATTATATTATTTTTAATAAAGCCACGATCAGACGATAACGCTGTCACTTAAGATTAAAGTAAGATCAAAATTATCTGTTTTAGACGCCTAGAAATTAAAGAATCATTTCAATTGTGAAATGGAGTTTTTTTTCAATTAGACATTTTTTATTGTATTAGGAGAGACCGAGGTAGATCGAAACAGAACTCATAATCGAAACAAATACATTCTTACGTTCTTATGTGTATTGAAACTGTACTGTTGTTCGATCATTAATTAAGTATTATTAATTTCAAAATAATACAGTCATAGTTTCAATTCACTTCCGTCTCCCCTACCTCTCTCTCAGCCAAAAATTAATATTTTTTTACTTTTTTAATTATTAAATATATATATTTTTATTTTCTACCGCATTAAAGTTTCATAATAACACAGTTAAAAGCTAAACATAAGTCTATTTCTCGACACTGCACTGTCATGCAATTAGCGTTAAATATCACAACATTCAAAGTATAAGTATCTGTTGGTTATGATGTTTGTTAGGAATGCTTGATGAAGTAAATATACAGGACACAACGTGTTGTGATATAATATCTTTTAATATAAGATATAGAAGAATATGATGTACAGAATCAAACTGAACAGACACAAAAATAAACGTTATGTAAAAGTATATATTTTGAAAAAGAAGTAAAGGTTATCTGTACGTGTGTATATAAAACGGGGTGAAGAAGAAAGAGAGTGAAAAGGAAAAGGGGCTCCATAAGAGTAGCGACAGGACTCCCTCTTGATACATATCGGTCGGTAAGTTCTTCTAGTTCGATCCAGCGCCATCCTTTAGTTTATCGACTTGTGCTGTTGATCTAAGCGCGCCACGTTCAATCTCAACACTCCCACTCGTGTAGCGGTTTAGATTGATCAGTCCCATATCATGGAGTAGTTTCTCATGTCGGAATCTAGCCAGACCTTTAGTTAGTGCATCAGCGATGTTGTTCTCTGTTGAGATATATTTGATCTCTAGTTCTTTGGATTTTACCTTCTCACAAATGTAATGATAACGCACTGGAATGTGCTTAGTCTTTCGGTGAAATACAGGATTGTTACACAAACTGATTGCTCCTTGATTATCGCAATATAATATAGTAGCATTGACTTGTTTTCCTTCCAAGTCTTCCAACACGTATTTCAACCAGCTTGCTTCTTGTGATGCCGCACATGCCGATATATATTCAGCTTCGACAGTTGATAGAGCTACAATGCTTTGTCTTCTTGATGCCCATGATACAGGTCCACCATTTAACATAAATACAGGGTCCATTATGAAAGTAATGCGCATGATTTTATTGTGACGCGACTATCCATCGCAGCGGGGTAAAATGGGTCGGGAAATGTGGTGGGGGGTCTGCCTTTCCAACGCAGCCGGTCGCTAGTTTGCTCCGAGCAGTCTGAGTGGAAAGACGTGCCTCCGCGTGAAGTGTGTTTTTCGACTTTGTAACACGGCGCGATGGAGCGTTCGCTTGAACAGCGATACGCCATCAAGTTTTGCGTGCGGCTTGAAAAGAATGCAACCAAAACATTCCAGATGCTTCAAAAGGCCTTCAAGGACGACTGCATTTCAAGGTCACAGTCCGGGAAGTGGCACAAGGCGTTCAAGCAGGGCCGGGAGGAGGTCGCCGACGAATCCTGTTCTGGACGCCCAACAACGGCCAAAACCGACGAAAACGTGAATCGTGTGTGCGAAATTTTGCGTTCCGACCGTCGATTGAGCATCCAGCACATCGCTGACACCCTAAACATGTCCACATTTGTAGTACATGGGATAGTGACCGAGAATCTGCAAATGCGCAAGGTCTGCGCGAAGCTTGTGCCGAAAGTGTTGACGGAAGACCAAAAAGAACTTCGAGTTTCGCACTGTCAAGAATTGTTGGATTTGATTCAAAATGAGCCGGACTTTCTTAACTCTGTTTTAACCGGAGACGAATCTTGGATGTTCGAGTACGACCCAGAATCGAAAAGGCAGAGCAGCGAGTGGCACACAAAATCATCCCCCCGCCCCAAGAAAGCGCGAATGAGCAAGTCTCGCATCAAAACGATGCTCATTGTCTTTTTTGACGTCCGAGGAATCGTCCATTTTGAGTTTGTACCGCAGGGAGAAACTGTCAACTCAGCCTTGTACCTGGAGGTGCTCAAGAGATTGAAACGCCGGGTCGCGCGCGTGAGGGCTGACATCAAAGACACGGTCAAGCTCCACCATGACAATGCCCCCAGCCACACGGCCTTCATCGTTGCCAACTTCCTGGCCCGGAGCAACACCCCGGTGGTCCCCCAGCCCCCTTACAGTCCCGACTTGGCTCCGTGCGACTTTTTTTTGTTTCCCCGACTGAAGAGAGAGCTGAAAGGAAAGCATTGGGAGTCCGTGGAAAACATCCAAAAGCATGTTACAACGTTCCTAAAAGACATTCCCGTCGAGGAGTTTCAGCGTGCCTTCCAGGCGTGGCAGACACGTCTCCGCAAGTGTATTGATGCAGAGGGAGAGTATTTTGAAGAATTTTGAGCATTTGTACCGCTACGATCAATAAATCTATTAGTAAAAAGAAATCCATTATTTTTCTAATAGATGGCTTTAGTAATCTGTATCTCGCGTTGTATAAGTGCGATCGAGTTACGCTAAATGGCGTTAGAAAAATAAGATTTTGTACTAAAAAAACTTCTCAGACAGTTTTGTGATTGCTTGACTCAGTAT